ATAATTTAAATAATTGCTAGGTCAAACGCGTTCTCTCATCCATATTTTTTGTCATCACCCCAAACTCGGCAACATATTGGTTAGTTCTAACTCGATTCTCTTTGATATTTTCCCGATTTAAAAAAAAAAAGATTTTGTAGATGTCATCTTTGAAATAAAGGCCGAAGTATCTAGCTGCTGAAGTTGAATCACACCGTGTTCATACACTATAGACATTCAATTGTGGATTCTATAATACTACCATCTATATACTACCATGAAAGAGACAACAATGGATTACAAATGCTTTAATTTTTCTTTTGCTTAAATGATAAATACAGAACATTTTGATCATAAATAATTCTTTTGAAAAGACGTCGACATGTGACCTCAAGATCACGAGTTCGATATGAGAGACTAGTTTAACTTGTTTTTATCTCCGATCCAAAAAAAATATGAACAATCAACTTCTTGATTAGAAACAAATGTTTTCCTTAACAATATTTTAGTTATATATACGAGTCAATTTTCTTTGTAAGAAATCTAATACCCCCATTAGTCTAAAAATCGATTAATCTAAGTATCAATCTGATGTGAAGATGGTGATACGTTGTATTCACTAGATTTACTCGCCCGCGCGTTGCGCGGGATATCAAATTTCAACTGGGTATAATACAAAATGTTAAGAATAATCATAATCATTTGAATTTTAAAAACTATATACATTCATACTTATTTTACAAAACAATATACAACATAGATATTATAAAATATATTTAGTAAGTACCGCGTAATAACAAAAGTTATATAAGATGAATCGGTCTTGGTAGTCATCAATAAATTTTTTTTTTTTCAAAAAGAGAGTTATTTCCATAAACAAATCTTGTAAGTATAACTGTCTTGATGTTTTGACATATTCGTACCTCATACTAAAAGTAAATTTGCTGAGTTTGAACATCAATTTATGAAAATATTTAAACGTAATATTCATGCCGCTTCAATAGGTTTGGAGAGCATTATTTACTTATTGAAGCAAGACCATCATACCTTAAGGAAAGTTTTGACAAAATCATGAATGTCTTAATTTTATCTATCCTACTACGCTTACATGGCTCGACGATTTAACCTGATGTTGAATATGATAGTCTGGTATACTAAATCAAACTATCCGCTAATGCATACATAGATCGGATGAATATCGTTTATATATCCAATGCTTCAAGCATTACTCAATTTCTCTTCAAATATTTTTCGTCATCTTCTATGATGCACTTGTTCGCTTCCCAACATCTACTCTTTTTTATCTTCTATGCTCACTTTAATAAAATTTTAAATTGATTCTTAACTGAAAACTATTTCCTCATTTTCATCTTTTTAGTTTATTTTTTTTTATTTTTTTTTGGTAAGCGTTTATTTTCTTTTATTAATTATATGGTTTTCATGCTTCAACGTAATATAATTTTACGAAAGATATATATTTGTTAAAATTTTCTCAACAGTACTTATTTAGATTTTTACCTATATTTAAACATATTCATTTTTTATTTAGAAAACAAACAATAATATAGATATAATTGTATTATTTTTATTGTTATATTTTACTATAATTTAATATTAAGATACAATTAATCTTTATATTTTTTCGTCAATGTGAATTTATACTATTACTCTCTTGAAATATAATTTTCAATTTTAAATATGAATTATTTCTTATATCTTAAACTTTTATAATCATACATTTACTATAACATTTAGGGAGACTCACAAAAATGCCCCTTTTTCAATACCCCTTTTCAAAAATGCCCCCTTTGGCTGTCCATTTTTAAAAATACCCATTTTTATGTACAAAATGACTAAATTACCCTTCTCTTAATAAAAGATATTACAAATATATAAGGAAATATAACAAAATTAGGTCCACAAAATACAAAATATTTTTTGCGGAAAAG